CTTACGGAGTCTGAGGTACCGCACACATGTACGTCAGCTGGAAAACGAACGGTGGCCATATACATGTGCGTGTCACTCGCCAAAGGATCCTTGAGGTCGACGAGCATACGTGTGTCATCCTGGCCAATCTATCAGAGCAGCATCGGGCCGTGTCCTTTCATGAGCGCGACTGTGCCATGCTGAGCAACCGGCAGGCGCACATGACGCCCACAAAGTGGCTCTTGAGCGCAGGCTTTACACCCACCTCCCCGAGCACCTTTGTCCGAACGTTGGACAAGCACTCGTCCGCAACGACCGTCAGGTCCGCCAGAAATGTTTCCTTCTCCGCCGCCGCCATCTGTGCTCCCTCGCCTCCATCTTGCTTGCGTATCGCGCGCACGCAGAGGACACGCCCTGTGACCTGACATTCGACGAGCTCGGTGACGGTCGCCTCAATCACGTCGACGCCCGCCGCCTGCTTCGCCTTCTTGCGCAGCGCCTGGATGAAGCGGCCGTTGGTCGAAACTGCGGCCCTCGTCGGCGTCCGGATACGGGATCTCACGGGCTGGCCGACGAGGACCGTACAGTAGCCGCGCATGGGGATGGCGTCGATACCGTCGAGACACTCTTCCATGCCGAGCTTTTGAAGGGCGATGACGCCTCCTGGCTTCCAGGCAACTCGCCTACGATGCGGCTGGGCTCAGCGAGAGAGCAATCTAGAAGACAGATGCGGAGCGGTATCGGGCGCGTGAGTGAGCACGTCGTAGTGACCTTGAAAGCGAGCTTTTCAACGGTTGCGGAATGCAGCCGAGATGTCTGAACTACGGATGACGAGCAGGTCAATACGCCTTCCGTTCGCAGCTAGCAGCCGGTCGCAGACAGGAGGACAGGAGGGCACGAGTCGAATTACAGTGTTGGTGGTGGTGGGGAGGTTTCCCTTGGCGTTGAGCGAAGAGGGATGGGTGTCACGTCCACTAGGTCCCGCATTGGCAGTTGGCAGATCTCGTTCAAACATTCGTCCATCTAGGTCCCACTGTGCTCCCACTTTTGACGCTCTTTTGGCCAATAGACACGGTAGCGATGCACAACGCTGGGAGCGTGGACTTAGTCGTTCCTGAAGCTCACCATGAGGTGGTGCAAGCGGCACGGAAGACGATCGCAGCGCAGAGGAGGACGCTGACGCGGAGGAGGGCGATCGCCTCGATGCTGATGCAGATATGATGGATTCTGATTCGCATGATCGCCGCGAACGGTTGTGACGAGTGGTGCGTACGTAGACGGGTCTTGGAACGTAGGGCAACTTACCTCCTTTGTAGCTCGTGAAAGTGCATGAAATCGAGCGGAAGATAGCCATTGCTGAAAGGATGATGGACGGTCCGAAAGTTGGTACGCGATTGGAAGAAGCCATCACAATGACTGGGACATGCCAGGACATGTGTCCAAGGTTCGAGCGATACCGGCGTGAGAGGGAGAATAGCCTGGACAAGTGGGGAGTGGTACGTGCCAGCTGAGTAACGCCTTACGTCTTCCGGCAACACTTTTCTCCTATAGTTACGGGGACAAAACGAGTCGACCACGGACGAGCAGTCAAGATATATGAGCATGCGGCACGAGACAAGACGCTGCTTTCAGACCTTCGGCCGCCTGTAGTTCTCAAGGCATGTATAATACATTTGGATCAGATATCTTTCTAATGTAGAATTTGCAGAAAACGCTTCATTACTTGTTTCACGATCTTATCGTGAGGGGAGGATTCATCCAGACATAGATTTCATTCATGACCGTTCCAGCGAGGTTCCGCAACGACTTCGCGATGCAACGTGAACGCGGTCCCATTGCAATCGAATGCCACGACCCTTGTGCCCGCTTCCATATTCTAGCCATTCATCTAGAACGGGACAGGCAAGCTTTCTCTCTGCAGATGGAGGAGCAAGAGCTGGCAAACAGTATGTCACGTTCTGTCCCTCCGTTGCGTTGAGCCCTGTTTTCACGGATGATTCACAGCACTTCAAAGCCTGGAAGAGTTCCATGAAGACCAGTGTGTTTAATATCAAGCACCAACAGAACTTGAGATGCGCATATATGGTCGTCTGATTCACATCCGCAACTAAGTGGAACGAGGCGAGGTTATCCCTGAGGAGATTACATCAAATCCGGTATTCCAATACATGACAGCGTTCCGCAAACGAGTACAGGCCGCAAGCGTGTCAATTACCAAGACCTCACCTCTGGTGGTTGATGCGGAAGCTCGATTCCGCAGTGCTCAGACAGCAGGGCAATACCGTGATGATATACTTTGTTGCTTGTATATTAGAGCGGCTCTTCGGCCCAGACACCATCGACGACATCGAAGCATTACGCGGCGACCTCACCATCCCGGAGATTATTGACAGTGTCTCTAGGCCAGCGAGGCTGCACCTGGACCGTCTGTGTCTAGTCCTAGCACTCCAGTATATCAACGCACAGGCCACCCCCGAGTCGATTGCATCGAATACGCCTAAACACTCTGCATTCGGTACTTATCCTGGTGATACCTTGAATCCCATTGCTACTACGTCTAAGGTCAACTCCTCGGGGTCTATGAGCTTCGCGTCCATCGAAGACGCTCGTGCATGGTCTAGATCTGCTGTTATTTCCAGCTGGTCGGAGATATCTGCACAGAATACTCCTTCTGACACTGGTGGCATGTCGATGCCCACCAGCACACTGACGCCAGTCAAGTCTACATTCAGCAATATCTTATCGACGTCAAATGTATTCAATGCTGCTAGTTCTGGGACACCTCCGGCCACATCTACCCTGCCTGAGTCTGCCTTTGCTGCTCTGGCATCTATGCCAAACGCATTCGGGACTTCCTTTGCGACGTCGTCTTCGCGCTTAGTGATTAGCAATGACATGCTAAGTCAGCCTTTACACTTCCTTGATCCCCCCCCGGGCATCACAGCCTTCCGTCGCCATTTCCTCCTCTCAATCAGCACCGTCAACGTTGAAAGGCTCAACAATCATGACGATGACTGAATACTCCTTGCAATCCAGCCGGTCGGCAGTCTTGCCACTACAGCCACCAATGTGACACCTGCTGCCGTAGTTACCGAGCCGAAGTCCTTGAAACCTGCCGCACCATCCTTCCAGCCTACGAGGACTTTACCATTTCCTATCACAGCGACGCCGACCTCCGCGAACGCAACGTCACCGCCCGGTCCCCCCTTCCCCCCTCCCCTCATATTAAGACCGCTGCCACACGATCTGGGCCAGCCGTGCCGCCCCGTCTTGATCTTCCACACCCGCGTATTCACGCTACACCCTCTGGTGTGTTCTCTACATCAACACCTTTCAGCTCCCCCCAGGTTCATGCCCACGGATGATCGGGCAAAACTCAGGCAGAAGACTCTCACACCACGAATAGTCGAGAGGCGACCAATGTGGTGTGACATTCACAGTCCCGTATCGCCTCAATCACGAGTGAGACTGCTCTTGATGCCACCTCGATGCCTGCAAAAGAGCCGTTGACAATCGAACGTCCGGTATTAACTATTTTGGCACCGCCAATGTTAGAGAAGATCCAGCCCGTGGCATTTCCTCCTACACCAACCATGCGATGGTTTGACCCCAGCTCGCAGAGACCTACCTTTCTTCAAGGCAGAAATATGTCACTCCACCATTTTTTTTCCTACACTCCAGATGCCTGGGATTCCATTGTCTGCAGAGATAGCGAGCCCACTTCACCTCAATACTCCTGTAACGTCGATTTTTTTTGGTGCCTACTGAAAGTCCAACGTATCAAGAGCCGAGTACTTCGTCAATGTCGCGTCTTCAAGCGACATGCCATGAAAGAACTGTTTGGGAATTTTAGATGAACGGGCAACTTCGGCCTAACCCAATCAGCAAGGCTGCGGGAAAAGAGCTCAAACGGAAGGCATCCGTGTTTCGACATAGACTTCTGAAGAGGTCATTCAGACGTTGGTTGCAAAAGGCTACGGGTCGCATCGAAGCCGAGATGGGCGCCTTTGACAGGAGCGAAGCTTAGCTTCAGCGAGAGCGCTCATCCAACAGTTACAGCACAGGTTCCATCACCAGTAGAACAAATCACGAGCCAAATACAAGGCGAAGGATATCTTCTGTAGAAGCCGTCCGATGTAGACGTCCTGTTGGGCGTAAAGAGGGAATTCATCTCTGGCCTTTCACGGACGAAAACCCGGCGAAGTGATTCAAAGAGGTGCAGCATTCATCCTCGTCGCCTGGGGACTTTTTCCCCAAAGAAACATACTTCTCGTTGTGTTTTGTCCGTTGTCATTAGACTCAAGGAGAACACGAGCGACCATGAGCCCGAGAATCTTTCTTGCGGTCCATTCGCCAGCATGTGATGGCCTCGTCGCTGTCAGGTCAGCCTTTATCTGAACGGCGTCTATGGTTATCTATGAGTCCAGTGCACGATGGAACTGCGATTTGGCTGGAGCATAAATTTGACGTTCCTGTCTCGCGGACGCGTGACTCGCAGAATACCTTCTCCATCCCTGCAATACCCAAGGCTCATCGCTCGACGTCACGCGGATCTCTTGATTTTATTATTTTTGAACGGACGCCTCTCGATGACATAGAAAATGATATCGAAAAGTACGATCCGCCTATCACCATCCATTACGATGTATGACATATGAACGTGTTTAGAAAGTACCGCATACTGGACGATTGTCCACGTGTACGTGACATTATCAAGAATCTTCCTGCTGCGGAACACTTACGATTCACTCCAATTCTGGTGGTTCTGCAATCGTCAGTGGAGGAGGGTGAAGACTTCGTTCATATCATGCGTTCTCTGTCTTGATAAAAGATGATTGATTAGACCCTGTGCAGGTCAAAAAATGGGTTAATCAGGGTGTTCTACGGGATGGTTCCAGCATCACGATACCGTCGACGACAACAGATTTGGACAGCAAGTTCCAAGAGTCCCTAGGGACTGTGCAGTTCGATCTGAGTGATCGGCATACAGTGACTATCGGATGGAGAGGTGCGCATCGTCAGCGTGACGAAGGTTCTACTCGACCGTTGACAAGACGACCTAGATTTGGTCAATAACTTCACTGTTCCATATGCTGCTGCTGTCGCGGATCGGCTGGACTCATGTTGGGTTGACCAGAAGTGTGAGCTAATAGCATTATTTACTCGTTGAATCATCGCTGAATGCTTTGAAGTGGATGGATATCGACATGGCGAAATCGTCAAGGAGCTTCAGGAGGAAGTCGCGCATTCCATTTTGAAGGCGATTGGTCGTGCCATGGCACCGGCGTCAACAGATTTCGAATTGGCGGCTTCAATAGGCAAAGGTGCGTATTTCGCCTTCATCGTGACAACATTGTCTGAAGTTGTTTGGAAGATCCAATCCTTTCTTTGACGAGATTATTGAAGAACCTGTGAATGTCGCGGAGCAGACAGTTGGACTGCATTCAACTTCCCGCCGCTTGCTACCCAAGGCCCGGCTGGCAGATGCTGTTGAACAGCTAGATTCGGTCTTTGAATCTCGCCGCGAGAGCCTGCTTGAAATCCCCCCCCTCCTAATGGGAGGCAGAAGAAGACGATATTAGTGAACGGTCAGTGTCCAGCCTCCACCATTGACTTGGAATTGTCAGTTCTGATACTGTCTCTTCAGGGTGACGGCATCTATGTCACACAAGAGAATGAGATCAGGCAGTAATTCGGGGATGCAGTGTCGCTGTTCGCACCGTCACCAGCATCGACGTCTTCCGTGCGTGGGTCGGAAAAGCCATGTGTCACCGCTGCTATGGCCATTGATCTGGCCGACAATTGTCGGCATTTCCTTTATGTGGCCATTCGTCCTGTCTACCGGTATGTTGTTCATGCCCGAATCGTCCCGTTGGCTCAACAAGCGCGGACGCTTTGACGAGGCACGGCGCTCGCTCGCACTTTCTCACAAATGCATCCCGCCTATGCAGGCCGCGGATGCTCTGGAAATCGTCGAGCTAGAAAAAAAGGCTGTGGTATAACGGATGACCCGTTCGAACGCTTCCAGGTAATGTTCTCCCTTCTGTCATCTGCTCTCAACAGCGCGTGCTGATGCGTATCGTGTTCATTTGCTGCAGGAGGACCGCGGTGCCCGACGCAAGCACTCGAAGATGGAGAACAGGCAGATGGAGGAGGATCTCCGGGTCACGCAAAGGAAGCACCACAGAGATGTGCGGACTCGCGAGAGGAGAAATAAAGCTAATGCAGAGGGAGTTCCTAGATAGATTGATGCGCGTGGTAATTTTGATGTGTGTTGTGTGATGTCTCTATTGCTTCAGTGCTTGGGACTTGTTGTGTGTGCCGTGTGTATTGGTAGGTAGCTCTTTGTACCCGCATGTGATGTGTGAGGCTGCATATTAGAATTTGTGTACTTAGTATTATCGAGTTTCACGATGTCTTGCTCGAATGAAGCCTAGCGGGTTGAGAAGTAGGATGTTTCTGAATGCACGAGCTGGATCGGTATAATGTTGATGGACGGGCTGCTGGTGCGTCGCCAGCATTGCTTTTCGCCTACCTTGTATAACAAGCAGACAATGAACGAACGATGTGGTTCATGGACACGCCCTTCAGAAACAGACCGACAAGCGAAAGGCATTGACTCCGATTACACATACTGCTCTGACGAACAGCCTGCTTTTATCTACATCAGTCTCGAAAGTCTACTGCATTGTGATTTGTATACTAGTCTGGTCAGTTGAAATAAATGCGGTTGACTATCCTGAAGGTCATCGGTTAGACGTTACTGACTGCTGCTCACGTCCAACCATGCAGGCGAATGCTGTATAAGCAGGTATAATCGGACATCCCCCAGTTGCTCAACACTTCCAGTATCGTTAGCTTGAATTCGTATTCGTGAAAGCGGGAGTCGACATCAAAGGTTTGGATGTTGGACGATGAGTGTACATCATAATTGATTATGGCCAGAGGAAACATTCGAGTGCCGGCAGGAAGTGAAACTCGCATTGGTAGTGTTGACATGCTGGTACAATGCATTTCTTGTCCTGTAGCGGCAACATCCGACAAGCCCCACAGAATGATGGATCGTGGAGCTGTACGGATGTCATGGGACGAAGCCATCGAGATGTGTCCAATTGTGACATTTGTGATGCGCATTGTGCGCATTGACTGCAAACCCAGATGGCCGGAAGATCCGCTCATGGGCCAACATCGCCCGGCGTGCAGATCGGGTTCGAGCACAGTCGAGGCTGGAAAAGGTTTGGCGATGTTGTAACTGAGCGCTCTCTTCAAGAAGGAAACATCGAAACGATCGGACAAAACGTGAGTTTGCGAAGTGAGGTTGTCCACGATACGCAGCCCAAAGATGACATCAGGCACGATTGCTACCGGCTGACCGTGCGCGCCTGGAAGCGCCAACTCTTTTTCTTGAACTTCACGTGCAGCGCACAGTGATGCAGCATAAACATCCGTAACTTTGCCCCGAAGCGTTAAGGTGGCACAGAAGCCGATGACCGTAGAGACCGTAAGCGCCCAGAGCATGCAATACGGTGATTTCAGCAAGGAGAATGTCCTCGATACACCCGCCGCCAGTGGTGACTTCTGGAGGCTAAAGGGATGCTGCATTGCATCCTTTAGAGGTATGGATGTCAAGGGGCCCTGAGCCTCGTGCTCCGTGGGCACTGTCGACTCTTCACGACTAAGGTGTTGGGAATGAGTTCTGTATACGGGCTGTGCTGACGTAGGAATGCCTGGAGCGTGTTTGACGGCATCTGGGTAACCTTGTTCCTGTGAGATATTGTCGTCTCCGTCTGCATGGAATATTGGAAATCCATCCCACCGCAAAGACTGACTATGCCGCTGCATAGTGTGAATTGACGAAATTGCATAATCGTGTAGTCTCGTGCGGACAGGCAAATCCCAGCCTGGTAATTGTGTCGATTGACGAGGGGAGCGTGCCCGTAGACGTTTGGACGAATCGGAAGCGCCAGCATCGACCACATTGCGTCTCCTCAGTCCGTTTTCCAAAATATACTTCATAGAGCTAGGGACCTCCCACAAGCGTTCGGAGGAGATATCCACAGTAGTGTCTCTGCCATCATCTTCCACAAATATTGATGGCGGTGTCCATCTGGAATATTCAGTACCATTCTGTGTACAAGAGCTCACTGTATCGATGGAGTGACACATTTCAACCAGTGGAGGTGGGGACCACTGAGGGTATTCATTGATAGGCATATGGGGAGAGCATCGTAGCGAGTTTTGGGAGAGTGGCATGCAATCGTTCTCGTCCACGAGGAGATCATGAGAGTCGGAAGCGCCGAGTACAGCTCCGCGGAGAACTAATGCATTCTCGGTTGTTGCATTCTGTTTAACGCTTGTGGAGGCTCGAGATAGTGAATGCAATTGATGCTGCGGTGCGGTGGGTGGAATGCATAGGCCGCATGCACCATGACAGCCAGCGATAACATCGCGCTCATGAGTGACCGTACTCTGGCCTATAGTTCAAGTTTCAACGAATTGTTCTACTAGCAGCAGACCACAAGCGAAGGACAACAAGTCACAATATTGAAAGAAAACGTACCAAAGATCATGCTCGTGCTATATGCAGTAGCTGCATCAGAAAGAACACTGTCCGGCGGTCGATGAGTAACAACCACCCGTTCATTGATTGGCGCAATCATGGAGCCTGTCAATCGGAGCGCATGTGAGGCCTCTTCATGGTATGTTTGAAATGTCGTTGCTAGTCGAAGTGCATGATAGCCCAGGTCCCTGTAGGTTCCATCCCCACTCTGCCGGTGATGAAGGGGCATTCAACATGAGACTTTCGAAAAACAGTCATAAAGAGATACAGACGTGACCGATATGGTATCGCTCCATGTGTCTGGATGGTCTTGTGAAGTGGTCCGAAATGTGAGTGGGTGTTAATGGCCTAGGGCCACTTTTTATATCCGTGTGTGCCTATGACTGAGTTGAAGATGTAGCTAGAGGTATGGCGGATGACATACTATGACTCTGGTGTGTGATCGCCCATTGGCGTCCAGTGATTTATCTTTCTCTTGATCAGCTGTCTGCATGCTATATATCTCCATGATGGGAGTATTGTAAAATAGAAGTGACCGGGAGTGGCAGAGTAATCAGAGCACTTGTCGCTGTTCTATAGGTAGGAGTCAGTCTGGTTCAAAAACCTAACTCGACCGTAAGATGCGCTTTCGTAAGTTGTTACGTAAGCGGTTTCATATACGAAACGGCGAGACGGCGAGACATGAGCATTCTCTACCTCACCGGTGTAACCGTGTGATGTAGCTCATCGCATGTATTTTCCATGTGTGTTACAGCATGGCAGTATAAACCTCGAGTATGTAGCGATGACTTCTTCGGCCTCCAACTTGTCTCGCTGTGTCGCACTCCTGCCCTCTCCGAGTCGTTCATCTGAATATGAAGAAATGGGTCATTGAGTTCTCACTCTGCATTGCGGTGCGATTCACTGAGCTGAATTCGAGCTTGGAAAAACCCCCCGGTGCCGAAACTCATCACCGCCTCGGCCAGGCTGAGGCCTCCTGGGGGAAAAAAAACTTTCCGGATTCACTGTGGATACACTGCCATGATCGCATCTGAAAACGTCTCGTGATGCTGAAGAGTGGCAAAGCCTGGATGATTTCAGAACTCAAGCTGCTTTCCATACAAGACGAGATCGATCGTTTCCGCCCCTGTCCAGGTCTCGTGCCCGCACCCTACAAACGGCCAACCCCTGCCAACCCCCTTTCCACTAAGCGCCCTGTAAACGCCCAAATGTCGGTGCTTCTTATGCCTTGGCACTCTTGGCTTCTTGGCCAGATTCGCTGTCCCGATGAGATGCCCTTTTTGGACCTTCAAAGGGCGCTGAGCGGGCAACGACCCAAGGCCGCCTCCTGCCGTATCTTCTGGTGATTCCAGTTGCTCGTGTCGACACCTCCGAACGTGATCTCCCCGTTGGTGTCTGACGTTGAAGTGGTCGGTGTTCTGAGAGATGCTGGTCACCACGTACGACTGACCTGCACCAACCCAAGTGTTGGAGCTGCCGGTGTCAACGATCAAAGTATCTTGTTACGTTCATTGTAAGGTTGTTTTCGTCAGATGGATAATTGATCAAAATGCTCACAATCAGTCGCAGGATCCCCAACGCGTACCTGGGTTACAGGATGGTCAGCTATGCCACGAGGTCCATGAACACCTTGATTACTGCGCTGGCAGTGTACTGCACGGCTCCATTCGTGGCGTCGAACACCAAACAGCGTGCTTGCGGTAGTCATAACGTCGCACGCATTGCCGCTGGTGCACCTAGCTTTGATTGTCCGATCCTTGCCCGATCCATCTGTTCCAGGGTGGCGCCACCCGTAGCATTAAACTTCCTGGTGAACGGAATATTGACGGGCGACTTATCGCGACGTGCGGGGTTGGCCGTCGCCGCGATAGCACCGAAGAACACAATACAGAGGCTGATTAGCACGGTGAACGGAGGTCGATAGTGCGCTTGGGAGAAAATGGGCGCCACCGTGTCCTTTGATACCTGAGATGCATGAATCTCTTCGTGACTAAGAGCAAATTGGTACCCGCGATGGCTGAATGGCAAGAAGCTCGAAAGACGCATGTTAACGACCGTGCGCGCTGCTGCAGGCCGGTAAGCACAGCGCGCATAGATGCTGCAGGCACGATGTGGCTCTGCATGAAAATCTATAATGGCTTATCACAGTCGTTAAGCGAGCGATAAGGCCCGTTGCAATGGAAGCGAGCGGTCGTTCTCACCTGGAAGATCGGGGTCACACAATTCAATGACGCACATCCTCACATGTTCCGCGGGTCGAGTATCAATACCTGGGTGCCTTAACGAGAATCTGGACAACGAACCGCTGCCACCGATATAAATCGCAAGCTCAGAAACAATCTTTTGCCATTTGTCGCGTTCAATACATTTTGATGATTCAACACTTAGTTAGCTGCAGCTCGACACTTAGTTAGCTGCAGCTCGACAATGAGAACAAAGGTGAGAGATAACGGCGTTATCTCACCTGAACTGCTATGAACTTCGCTATTTTTGTCTGCTCCATGTTTCCTCGAAGAGCTTCTTAATCATGAGGCAACCACTGGATTTCTGCGCGCATATCCGCCAGTTTGGCTTCCAGGGTGTCACACTTTCTATGGGAAAGGCTCAGCAGGATGCGGTGGAACGCACAGGAAGGCAGCGCACGCATGGATTGCCTTCGTCTCCTCCCTTCGCTGCTCGAGTTGCCTCCTCATCACGAGCTCTAGATCCCCCCCTGGCCTAAGAATAGCCGTGCCTATCTCAGCAAAAACGCATGCAAACTGAGTCAAAGGCTAACCTACACGGGTGGCAGATCGTTTGCTGCCGCCATGACGTTCTGTACGAGAACATTGATCCATTCTGTCTGCTGCTCCCATTCCGGCGGGCCAGTCGAGGGTGCAGTGGGGGTGGCGCGAGAAGAAGATCGAGCAAGTGAGAATATGTGACCAACATGGACCTTAGTATGGACCTCAATGCTGGTCTGCGATCTGAGCAAGACAAGTAAGCAACACCGAAAGTCGTACATGATTAAATGGCCACCGACCGACACTCGGATCAGCCAGATATAGCTGGTGACCTCCTAGCTCAGCCAAGGATGTAGTCCCTCTTTTATCTGCCAACGCTGATCCCATGAGAGCCCGTCTCGACTCACCGGCCAGTTTCAACCAAACACCGTATAATGCCGGTCCCCACTATCCAGTCAACCCGCGGCTTCTCCAGCTGCGCAAGCGGCCACTCTGGAACGTCCGTCTGATATGAGAGCAGCTTAAACTGCTTTACCGTAGAGAGGTCCGCGCCACCCGCACGCTCGCGAAGCAGCTCGAGGAGGTGGAGGTCGTGCGTCGTGTATTTCGTGTAGTGCGAGGGTGGCGAGGGAAACAAGTTGCGGAGTACAGCCTCCTCCTCTTCCACCTTTTCGTATCGGCTGCATCAGCTGTAGGGAGCTGGTCTGGCGGAGAGAAAGGAGTGAGCGTCGCGAACAAGCAGCGTCGACCATCAATGCTCTGGTTCAATAATTAGACGCCGCCCATTAGACCGGGAACAAGCGCCCACAATTTCTCCCATTCTAACTCTCAGCCTTCGCTTCTCACCTTCGCTCGTTCTCCTGCATCGGGCCCGCGTTTGTTGAGCCTCTGTCATAACATGTCTACCAGGCATAGAGTAGGCCTCAGCACGTCTGCCTCAGAGGCATCAAGATGACAATTGATGCAACCCGTACCATGCTGGGGTTCAAAGTCTACAACTGGGTAAAGACGGACAAGAAACAGGTGTGGCGTAGTCTCCACTCATATTCTAGCGACCCTATATTGATTGATCACAGCAATTCAGTGACGACGAAGAGACAGATCAACCACTGGCACCCTTGTCCGATGCAGACGACGTCGAAGTTGTCGACAGCGACGAAGAGATGGATCAAGACGAGGCAAACACATCGATCGCCCCAGAGACGACTCCCATCTCGCGCGATATCTCCGAACGAGCAGCATTCGAAGGTAAGGAGACAGAATCGAAACCAGCTACACCAAAGCCGCATCCTCCCTCGATGTCGTTCTGACCATCATCGCCAACCCCCTTGCTAGACGGAATAGACGAGCCAATGCAGCCATCTGGAGTCGCTCTGGACTCTGCGGTCGTGATCATGATCTTGGGGATAGCATATCACTGGATATGTCGGGATGGGCCCGGACGGGAAGCCATTTGAGGGTGCGCAGGATCTATCTCAGTTTGTGTTGTCTACGAAAATCGATGTCAGCGAAGGAATTCCGCTCACAAAAAAATTGCACTGCAGGCGTGAAGGCGTCGACGCTCTCCGCCTGCTATCGACGTCGCGAAATATGCCTTCGTAGTCATGGTCTGTCCTCTCCATGCTCAGGCTGCAGCACAGCCAGAACAATTGACATGAGGAACTTTTGGGAAACCTAGTCCACCGATGTCCCCTCCCAGTCGCAGGAGCCTGTGTATCGCGTACGCGCCGGGCCAGTTACACGCGAAAACCAGAGTAGATACAAGCGCGCGCAGGTGCCATTCAAAAGCAGGATGGTGCGTGAAAAAGCCGTGTAGATGCAGAATGAGGTCGTTGGTCGAATAGCACCAGACAATGGATCTACTAGCGACTCCAATAGCGAGTAATCTAGTGTCCGTAAGAGGTGTATGGCGCTGCGCAGCTAGGATGTGGCAGATCCTTTGGACGTAGCGCAGCTGCATCAGAAGAGCATCTTGCTCGAATGGCATACACTTGCAGATCATCAGGAAAGCGAGGAAAGACCGGCCCTCTTGTACCGATTGAATCGCCCGAGAACTATTGGCTACGCTAGAATCAGGTTAAGTGCCGTCTTTCCTCTAGGCTGCACAGATAACGCACCTGGTTTGCATGCTTTGTAATAGACTATTGCAGTCGGACTTGTGATTTTGACGAGGAGTGGGCAGTTGAAGACTGCTGCCGTCAAGCACCCTCCAGGGGTGGAGGGCTCCTGGAAGTGCACAAATTTATGCAAATACAACCAAAGGACGGATGTCTCGAACCATGTACTCTGTAACCGAGAGGACTGACTGCTTTCCTCGGTGTAAGCTGCGCAAAAGGCGCTGCATGCGCGGTGCGCACTCAGGTCCGCGACCGCACAGGCGTGGGAGACCTGTCCAGTTGTCATTCTGCACTCCTAGATACGACCCCGCTCTACGCGTGGATCACGCTGCCGACTCTGGTAGTATCCTTCGTAGATCTTATCAGGGTAACTCTAAATAGTGAGCGAAAACGGCCTCTTGAATGTGCTATTATTAACTTCCAGAAGGCACAGTATGCACCTACGATACAGGACGACATTCACTCTCGCCAATGAGCATTCCGATGTGATCAGTGCGATAGTATTTAGTCCGGATGGCCTATTTCTTGCCAGCAGCAGCTATGACGGGAGGATCATAGTGTGGTCCCTGCTAACTGGGGAAGCCTGTCACCGCATCATTGCGAAATCTGGCATATCATGCCTTGCATGGCCGTCATGCGCGAACTCGATTGTGGCCGGTGCAGTGGATGGGAGTTTGATGATGTTGACAGTGGACGAAGTACGATAAGTTCCTGTTATTGCTGTTAAAGTGATTGTGTCTCACATGGACACCATTCAGACTTTAATTACTGCTTCTGGATGTCTGGCTCATCATGATGGGTGCATTCAGTCACTCTCTTTAAGCTGCAACAAAACAGTCAGCTCCTCTTGTCTGAGAATATGGATATCTTTCTGAATTGATTGTCAGGACTCTGCAGACAGCAATGCAACTGCATGCACAGATCACATGCTTGCATCTGCAGCAAGCAATGCAGTCATAATATGGGACTGGGATCAGCATTGTAAGTATCAAAGGTTAAAGGCTTATAAATATCCCATATCATTATAGAGTGTTTTTAACTGACATTTGACACTGTGCTGGTAGCTAAATTCTGGCAACACTTCTGTACCCTTGATCAGCCTCCATTCAATCCATTTGGTGGAACCACCTTTCCTGCAGAAGTCACAAATGTTGAATGGCTTTCGCCTCCACAAGACAATTGCCTTGCTGTCTCATATCTACATCATGGTATAATGTATGTCATACCTTGACTTGAAAAAAAATGCTGTTGCTGATCATACAAGATGTTGGCAATTGGATCAAGATACATTTTCACAAATATGGGCCATTCAGATGCCACTCTGGTCTGTTCAATATACATGATCTATTTTGCATTATTTCTAATGCTTAGATTGATCTAGTGGATCATTTAATATTAGTGCAGACAATGATCTGCTGGCAGTCTCCAACATTTTGACAGGATTTGACATCTATGAAATACGGTCTGGACTTCATAAGCTTGCTTTGCAAGTGAATGGTGAACATCCAGATCAGATTTTACCAATCAAATTTCACTATGGCAAACTGCTGCTCGCTAGTAGCATGGTAGGAAAACTGTATTTGCATAACTCTCAGAATGCAAAGTGTCTTCAAAGATTGAGACTCAAAGGTATGTGATTAACACTTTTATAAGATAGATTATTGCTTATATTGATTTTCAGATAAAGTTGCAGTTCAGGCTATTTCAGTATGAAGCATATATTATATAAAGATAATGACAATGCTGACAAAAATTGCTAGACATTTCACTCAGAAGAAAGTGATGTGTACATGATTGCAGGAGGTACAAGTATCTCAAATTCAGCAAATTATATTCAGGTCTGGAAGGCAGTTCAGCAGGAATAAAAAACAGAGATTAATAGCCTTTTTATGATAATTCTCTTCTCAATGCAAAGTAGTTGATGTATATAAAGTGAACTAAAGCTGTCCATCTCTGTCTGCTTATATTTGTTGTAACAAGGACTCACCTGATCCTATCATTTGACATAGTCAAGACAATGTATCTAACACAAGCACTTAAACGATTGGTTGATTAGCATGAAGCACTTATCCTGGACTACTCCTACTTGTCTTCCTCTTCTATGTCTCCTCAATCCTCAGCCTCACCTTCTGACTCCTTTTCATCTTGTCCCTCATTGGGCTCTTCTTTTTCCTGATTGTCTGATTAATGCATGTCTTTCAGCCTGGTTTCTGATGTGTTTAACATCTCTTCTGTGATCGCGATCTTCTTCCTAGCTGCAAAGGGTACCACTTGGAATGCTGCTACTGATCAGTCTAAAACTGTTTCATCTAATTTGCAGAGCATGTATGCTTCTCCCCGATTGCAAAATAGCACAATGTACAGTACAATATAGCATGGTCACATTTTTTGATTGAGTGCTTTTTTGATCTGCGTATGCCAAACCAAAACTAGATCTCTGCACTTGATATCAAAATTCTTGATTACATGCTTTTGAACCCTCTCGAACTGTCACACTGCTTTTTATCTGGCCTTATAGACTGCATTGTAGATTCTTGCGACCTGCTCTTGACACTTTTATAGGGCTTCCACTTGACTTGTGATCAGGTCGATCATGGATACCATCCTGACTGGTGCTGAAATCAAGCACATCACTTCAACTATATCAAGCAATAAGATTGGATGAATGCCCATAACTGCAAAATAGGGTGAGCAATCTATGTGTCTTCTAACTGTAACTCTTTCCAACCAGAATATCAAGTGCATGATCTGACTCCATTTGCATTTTTCACCATTGGCAGCTTTGAATAGGCTTTGCTGAACATTAAAATGCAGTTGCTCAACTATTCCATTCACATATGAGTTGTAACTGCTTTTTCGGATATGCTTGACATGATATTTCTTCTTCAGATAGGCTGCTGCTTTTACGAGTGGTGCACTGTTATCAGTTACGATTTCTGATAGTGCTCCCCAGTGACAGAGTATGTCTTTAAAAATGCAATCACCAAGGGTCTTTGCAGTCTCAGCTCAAAGCATTTGGAATTCAGAATAATGAGTGAGCGAGCACTGACCTGCATGATGTACTTAAAGCTATTTGAGGGCGACATATGCATTGTGTCAATATATATTTTTGCGAAGATTGTGGTTGAGATTGTGATGGTCGGTGATATCAAAGTCTGGCAAATCTGTCACTTCTGACATATGATGCACATTTTGACAAATCAAGCAATGTCAGCCCCAATGTCAGGCCACCAAAAGCATTCGTGAATTAACGATCAAGTCAGAAAATGCCTTGATGCTCTAGCTCATCATGTGCTTTAGCTAAAATTCTCAGTCAGTTTTTGGGCAATATGACTAGGCTATGCACTCCATGTGTGTCCTTCCTCCAGAGTTATCCATCTCACTTTGTCCTTCCTTCAGAGTCATCCATCTCACTTGAAGAAGTGCACTATGTTGATATGCACTGAAAAGCTCTGTGCTCAGAAGCCCATCTGAAAGAGCAGCCAAAGACTGCACAACTTAATAATGCATATCTGTCAAGCAGAATACTCTAAATAGAATAGCACAAGGACCTTCAACTCTGAAGAATTTGTAGAAGCAGTGAAATATCAAGAAGGGTTGCACATGAGGCTCAAAAATGAGTCAGGACCTATGTGCTAGCACCACCAATTATGAAAGCAAAGGAGAAAGGGTGGAGCAGAATGAGTTTGGTAAAGTGGGAATGAGAGTGCACTCAAAGTGAGATAAGTGCAGTGCAGAAGACCACTGAACCCTTGAGAGCCCATACCTTTCCCGACTGCAAGTGATGATGAGGAAACGGTGGAGAACATTTTGGAACTGTTTCAGAGGATCGAAAACATGTACTGGGGATCAGAAACGTCTTCTGCTACACTAGAAGATGTTATTCTACACCTATATAATGGCCTGTATACATAGCACAAAAAACGAAAAAGTGTTCACTCCTCAGTTCTCAAGTTTTACATTATCCTTATAATAGGGCGGAGTGCCCTATTCAGTTGTGACAGCTTATGCTGATATGCTGATATGCACCAAAATATTCTGCACTCAGTAACCCATCTGAAAGAGCAGCCGAGGACCACTGATAGGTTTTGCAATCAGAAAATGCCAGAGAAAGTGTTCGCCTATCGCACTATCAGATAACGAGTCACCGTGATTTAGAAGCATCCACCTCAGAGCCAGAACAGTCCAGGGTGAGCAAAGGAAGGCTTTACTGACTGCCTGGGAATGCAGAACTGCATGAAGAGATCAGAAGGTGAACATGAGGTGCAGAAATGATGAACAGGCCACTGAGAAGCCTAGCCGATTATGAGATACAGCACAAGAGCGGAATGTGACCAGTTAGGTAACTTGGAAATGAGCAAGTATGCTAACTGAATAAAAGACAGTGTAGCAGA